GTGACAGTGTCAGACCATGGAGGAAAATTGAAACAGGAATTTCCTTAAGTACTTTCGTATATTAATACATCTTCAGAAGGAGTGATTTAATTTATATGAATTTATATAGAATTTATATTTACATTAATTTATATATTTCGATATATAAATATTAAATATTGCAATATTATCTGCATATTGTATTTAATATTAGTAAATGATGTCGGGTTTTCCTACGACTGGTGTGGCTATACTTCCATTATCGCAACTGTGCTATTCCACCCCCCTTCTTCCTCGGGGTTTTTCCTCCTAATCTTCATCAATCAATCACTTCTGTCTCCTCACTTGAGAATGAACCATGTAGGTTCGAAACATATAAATTTATATGCAGGCGAGGAGTCACAATAACGTGGCTGAAGTATGTTGACCAGACCACACACTAGAAAGAGAAGGGACGACGACTTTTCGGTCCGTCCTGGATTATTTCTCAAGTCGATGTATGGATCCTATGGAGCATCAACTTGAGAATGGTCCAGGACGGACCGAAAGGTCGTCGTCCCTTCACCTTCTAGTGTGTGGTCTGGCCAACATAAAAATTTATAATGTGTAATACACCATCCCATTGGGAGTCGGTCGGCCGAGCGGACAGCACGCTGGACTTGTGATCCTGTGGTCCTGGGTTCGATCCCAGGCGCCGGCGAGAAACAATGGGCAGAGTTTCTTTCACCCTATGCCCCTGTTAACTAGCAGTAAAATAGGTACCTGGGTGTTAGTCAGCTGTCACGGGCTGCTTCCTGGGGGTGGAGGCCTGGTCGAGGACCGGGCCGCGGGGACACTAAAAAGCCCCGAAATCATCTCAAGATAACCTCAAGATAATCCTCCTGCTCGTTATCTTCCTGCCCCGCCAGCAACGTTCCAGGATTTGTTCGGCGCTGCTACATGGCCGAAGTATTTTGATCTGTGTCCCGACGACCATACCCGCCCTGGGGCCAGATTCACGAAGCAGTTACGCAAGTACTTACGAACGTGTACATCTTTTCTCAATCTTTGACGGCTTTGGTTACATTTATTAAACGGTTTACAAGCATGAAAACTTGCCAATCAACTGTTGTTATTGTTATAAACAGCCTCCTGGTGCTTCAGAGCTCATTATCTGTTTAATAATTGCAAACAAAGCCGCCAAAGATTGAGAAAAGATGTACTGGTTCGTAAGTGTTTGCGTAACTGCTTCGTGAATCTGGCCCTTGATAATGTACATACCCGTCGACTCTAGGGTCACATTTCGGCGTCCTGGGTTACTTTTAACCCTATTCAAGCTGGCACGGGTGTGTGGTAGTGCCTCCTCACGAGGGTGGCCGTTCCTACTGCTCAGAATGTAACCCGTTCTCGCACTTTTGTAAAGTCAATATTGACTTATTAAATACGTGCATATGTGACATACTAATTTATTGTGAATATTTTAGTTTACCTTGGAAAGCTTCATAGAAAACACCGACCTTACCTAACCTTCTTGGTATGTTAAGATAAGCATCTTATTGCTTCGTAATTACAATTATTACTTAACCTATTATAGGTATAGGTTAAGAACACCACTAAAATATTCACAATAAATTAGTATGTCACATATGCACTTATTTAATAAGTCAATATTGACTGTAAGAAAGTGCGAGAACGGGTTGTAGAATGGTGCAACGTGAGTAAGGAGTTTGAAAGGACAACACAAGTACTTGTGAACAATGGCTATAGTAACCATCTTGGTTATCTTGAGATGATTTCGGGGCTTTAGTGTCCCCGCGGCCCGGTCCTCGACCAGGCCTCCACTCCCAGGAAGCAGCCCGTGACGGCTGACTAACACCCAGGTACCTATTTTACTGCTAGGTAACAGGGGCATAGGGTGAAAGAAACTCTGCCCATTGTTTCTCACCGGCGCCCGGGATCGAACCCGGGACCACAGGATCACAAGTCCAGCGTGCTGTCCGCTCGGCCGACCGGCTCCCCTAACCATGAGTTAAACATTACTATAAGACGACACCTGGACCGGTGGTACAACCCTGAACTCATTATACGAACGGATAATAGTTTCTACGAATGGTTTCTATGAACAGAAACCACAACACCGCTACTAAAGTTATATTACAAATCCACCATGCTCAGTGAATATAAGAAAGAGGACAGAATAATGACAGCAATAATCTATAAAGGAGTAAAAATCACACTCCCCCCCTAACCAAAAAAATATACATCATCATGTACCATAAATAAAAGAAAATCACTGACTTCCTCATTAAAAACAGCCCGAAGCCATCTGAGCACCGTCGGCAGCTGTCGACTGTGGTGTATATATGTATGTACACCTGCCTCCATGAAGGGTGAACGTGGTATGTATGTACACCTGCCTCCATGAAGGGTGAACGTGGTATGTATGTACACCTGCCTCCATGAAGGGTGAACGTGGTATGTATGTACACGTGCCTCCATGAAGGGTGAACGTGGTATGTATGTACACGTGCCTCCATGAAGGGTGAACGTGGTATGTACACCTGCCTCCATGAAGGGTGAACGTGGTATGTACACCTGCCTCCATGAAGGGTGAACGTGGTATGTATGTACACCTGCCTCCATGAAGGGTGAACGTGGTATGTATGTACACCTGCCTCCATGAAGGGTGAACGTGGTATGTATGTACACGTGCCTCCATGAAGGGTGAACGTGGTATGTATGTACACGTGCCTCCATGAAGGGTGAACGTGGTATGTATGTACACCTGCCTCCATGAAGGGTGAACGTGGTATGTATGTACACCTGCCTCCATGAAGGGTGAACGTGGTATGTATGTACACCTGCCTCCATGAAGGGTGAACGTGGTATGTATGTACACCTGCCTCCATGAAGGATGAACGTGGTACATATATGTACACCTGCCTCCATGAAGGATGAACGTGGTATATATGTACACCTGCCTCCATGAAGGATGAACGTGGTACATATATGTACACCTGCCTCCATGAAGGATGAACGTGGTATATATGTACACCTGCCTCCATGAAGGATGAACGTGGTATGTATGTACACCTGCCTCCATGAAGGATGAACGTGGTATGTATGTACACCTGCCTCCATGAAGGGTGAACGTGGTATGTACACCTGCCTCCATGAAGGGTGAACGTGGTATGTATGTACACCTGCCTCCATGAAGGGTGAACGTGGTATGTATGTACACCTGCCTCCATGAAGGGTGAACGTGGTATGTATGTACACCTGCCTCCATGAAGGGTGAACGTGGTATGTATGTACACCTGCCTCCATGAAGGATGAACGTGGTACATATATGTACACCTGCCTCCATGAAGGATGAACGTGGTATATATGTACACCTGCCTCCATGAAGGATGAACGTGGTACATATATGTACACCTGCCTCCATGAAGGATGAACGTGGTATATATGTACACCTGCCTCCATGAAGGATGAACGTGGTATGTATGTACACCTGCCTCCATGAAGGATGAACGTGGTATATATGTACACCTGCCTCCATGAAGGATGAACGTGGTATGTATGTACACCTGCCTCCATGAAGGATGAACGTGGTATGTACACCTGCCTCCATGAAGGGTGAACGTGGTATGTATGTACACCTGCCTCCATGAAGGATGAACGTGGTATATATATGTACACCTGCCTCCATGAAGGATGAACGTGGTATGTATGTACACCTGCCTCCATGAAGGATGAACGTGGTATACATGTACACCTGCCTCCATGAAGGATGTAGCCTTCAATCTAAGTACATAGGTATGACGTCGACCAAGCTGACGAGGCGTTTGACATGTCATCTTCAATCCGGTGCCCTCAGGAATCACATGAGACAAGCCCATGACATTACCCTAACAAGAGAAATGTTGAGTAAAAACACTTGTATAATAGACAAAACCCAAGATGTAAGAAGATTACAAATTCTTGAAGCAATCCACATAAAAATAGAACAACCTAACGTGAATACTCAAATAACGGAACATTACATGGTTAATCTTGGGTACAAGTCCAATATATCATCAAGTGTTCCAGTACTCATATAGTAATTACACAGTTCAGCATACCTTAGCCCAGGAGGGCGAAAGTCAGTCAGTATGGGACATTCTACAATATAATGTTCAAGAGAGTGCATGTTTTCTCTTTCACAAAGTTGACACATTGTGTACTCGACAGTTTCACAAAGTTGACACATGATATATTCTGACACTTTCACAAAGTTGACACATTGTGTACTCGACACTTTCACAAAGTTGACACATTGTGTACTCGACATTTGGGTTTTGAGAAAGCTGCCAGATACGTCTATATCCCAGGCGTATTCTGGCCACTATAACATCACATTGCCGGGTTCTTGTTCTATTAGTCCAATATGTGAATGTCTCCTCACGATATCTATCATAATATTTAATGCTACAACTTTCAGGTCTTTGAGAATTTGTTAGGTCGGTGAGATCTTCATTAGATATTTGTTTAAGTATTCTGTAAAAGGTTTTCCGTCGGCTTCGGGCTGTTTTTAATAAGTATTTCGGAAGTCTTCTTGGTTTTGTAGAATATGATCAGGTCTATGTTTTGGTTAGGAGTAATGCTTTTTACTCCTTTACGGACTATTTCTTTCATTATTCTTTCTTCTGTTTTATGTTTACTGTTCATGGTTGATTTGTAATATAATTTTATTGGAGGCGTTGTGGTGTGAATATTACAAATCAACTATGCACAGGGACCTGTACATAGTTGTTGTACCTGATCAACCAGGCTGTGACTCATAAGTCAGGCTGCGAGCAGCCGCGTCCAACAGCCTGGTTGACCAGTCCAGCAACCAGGAGGCCTGGTCGACGACCGGGCCGCGGGGACGCTAAGCCCCGGACGCACCTCAAGGTAACCTCAAGGTAAGGGAACATAAAAAAAGAAGAATAATGAAAGAAATAATCTTTAATAAATATATAGTAACTTTTATAAGCATTATAATAATTTTTTTGTGCCTTCAGGCCTCGGCGGACCCTGTGGTGGCGTACGGCCTGGTGTGGTGGGCGACACGGGTGCTACCTAGCTCCTGGGCCCGCCGCCTCCTCCTGACTCTCCACCGGCGTATCTCCCTTCAGTACTCATCTCTTCCTGGACCCAACACCTCTCTCCTGCTGGGCGGGTTAGTCGCCTGTGTGTGTGTGTGTGTGTGTGGGTGTGTGTACTCACCTAGTTGTACTCACCTAGTTGTGTCTGCAGGATCGAGCATTGACTCTTGGATCCCGCCTTTCGAGCATCGGTTGTTTACAGCAATGACTCCTGTCCCATTTCCCTATCATACCTGGTTTTAAAATTATGAATAGTATTTGCTTCCACAACCTGTTCCTGAAGTGCATTCCATTTCCCCACTACTCTCACGCTAAAAGAAAACTTCCTAACATCTCTGTGACTCATCTGAGTTTCAAGCTTCCATCCATGTCCTCTCGTTCTGTTACTATTCCGTGTGAACATTTCGTCTATGTCCACTCTGTCAATTCCTCTGAGTATCTTATACGTTCCTATCATGTCCCCCCTCTCCCTTCTTCTTTCTAGTGTCGTAAGGCACAGTTCCCTCAGGCGCTCTTCATACCCCATCCCTCGTAGCTCTGGGACGAGTCTCGTTGCAAACCTCTGAACCTTTTCCAGTTTCATTATATGCTTCTACAGATGGGGACTCCATGATGAGGCGGTATACTCTAAGACTGGCCTTACGTAGGCAGTGTAAAGCGCCCTAAATGCCTCCTTACTTAGGTTTCTGAATGATGTTCTAACTTTTGCCAGTGTAGAGTACGCTGCTGTCGTTATCCTATTAATATGTGCCTCAGGAGATAGATTAGGTGTTACGTCCACCCCCAGGTCTCTTTCACGCGTCGTTACAGGTAGGCTGTTCCCCTTCATTGTGTACTGTCCCTTTGGTCTCCTATCTCCTAGTCCAACAATGACATAACTTTACATTTGCTCGTGTTGAATTCTAGTAGCCATTTCTCTGACCATCTCTGCAATCTGTTCAGGTCCTCTTGGAGGATCCTGCAATCCTCATCTGTCACAACTCTTCTCATCAACTTTGCATCATCCGCAAACATCGACATGTAGGACTCTACGCCTGTAAACATGTCGTTAACATATACAAGAAATAGAATTGGTCCCAGCACCGATCCTTGTGGTACTCCACTTGTTACTGTTCGCCAGTCCGACTTCTCGCCCCTTACCGTAACTCTTTGGCTCCTTCCTGTTAGGTAGTTCCTTATCCATTCTAGGACCTTTCCCCCCACCCCCGCCTGCCTCTCGAGCTTGAACAGCAGTCTCATGTGCGGTACTGTATCAAAGGCTTTTTGGCAGTCCAGAAATATGCAGTCTGCCCAACCATCTCTGTCCTGTCTTATCCTCGTTATTTTATCATAGAATTCCAGAAGGTTTGTTAGGCACGATTTCCCTGTCCAGAACCCATGTTGATGTTTGTTCACAAACCTAATGTTCTCCAGGTGTGCAACCAGTCGTAGCCTAATTATTCTTTCCAGTATTTTACAGGGGATGCTTGTCAGTGATACAGGTCTGTAGTTAAGTGCCTCCTCCCTATCTCCTTTCTTGAAGATCGGCACGACATTTGCCTTCTTCCAGCAACTGGGCAATTCTCCTGACATAAGTGACTCATTAAAGATCATTGCCAGAGGCACGCTGAGGGCCTGTGCTGCTTCTTTTAGTATCCACGGTGATACTTTGTCTGGTCCAACTGCTTTAGTTGCATCTAGAGTTGTCAACTGTTTCATTACCTCCTCTGCTGTCACCTCTATATCTGATAGTCTTTCATCTAGGGTAACCCTTTCCAACAATGGGAGCTGCTCAGGCTCGGTAGTGAACACTCCATGGAAACTGGCATTCAGTGCCTCGCAGATTTCCTTGTCACTTTCAGTATATGCCCCCTCTGTCTTCCTTAGTCTTGTCACTTGGTCGTTCACCGACATTTTTCTTCTTATATGACTGTGTAGTAACTTAGGTTGTTTTTTCGCTTTGATTGCAATATCGTTCTCATAGTCCCTTTCCGATGTTCGTCTTATGTTAATGTAATCGTTCCTAGCTCTGTTGTATCTGCTTCTGTTGTCCTCTGTTCTTCGTCTTCTGTACTTCCTCCACTCCCGCCTGCTGGCCATTTTTGCTTCCTGACACTGTCTATTAAACCACAATGTGTGTGTGTGTGTGTGTGTGTGTGTGTGTGTGTGTGTGTGTGTGTGTGTGTGTGTGTGTGTGTGTGTGTGTGTGGATGTGGATGTGTGTGTGTGTGTGTGTGTGTGTGTGTGTGTGTGTGTGTGTGTGTGTGTGTGTGTGTGTGTGTGTGTGTGTGGGTGTGTGTGTGTGTGTGTGTGTGTGTGTGTGTGTGTGTGTGTGTGTGTGTGTGTGTGTGTGTGTGTGTGTGTGTGTGTGTGTGGATGTGTGTGTGTGTGTGTGTGTGTGTGTGTGTGTGTGGGTGTGTGTGTGTGGGTGTGTGTGGATGTGTGTGGATGTGTGTGGATGTGGATGTGTGTGTGTGTGTGTGTGTGTGTGTGTGTGTGTGTGTGTGTGTGTGTGTGTGTGTGTGTGTGTGTGGATGTGTGTGTGTGTGTGGATGTGTGTGTGTGTGTGTGTGTGTGTGTGTGTGTGTGTGTGTGTGTGTGTGTGTGTGTGTGTGTGTGTGTGTGTGTGTGTGTGTGTGTGTGTGTGTGTGTGTGTGTGTGTGTGTGTGTATTAACTCAGTACTCACCTAGTTGTGTTTGCGGGGGTTGAGCTCTGGCTCTTTGGTCCCGCCTCTCAACCGTTGAATGTGTGTGTGTGTGTGTGTGTGTGTGTGTGTGTGTGTGTGTGTGTGTGTGTGTGTGTGTGTGTGTGTGTGTGTGTGTGTACTCGTAGCCCATTTATTTGTGACTCTCGCAGTGAAGAAGTTTTCCTGACTGTCTCTCCAGCTTTCAGCCGTTTCCTCTGGCCATATTATTTTTCTTTTTGAATATCTTGTACGTTTCTATCATATCTCCCCTGATTCCCCTTTCTTCCAAGGAGAAGAAAGAGGAATCTTTCTTTAAAAAAAAAGTCCATTCATGGGTGTCAGCAAACAAATATCCACTAAACAGAAAAAACTTCTACGTTTTATTTTGTAGTAAATCATCAAATCAGATTTAATGTCAGATAGACAATGTTAACATTACCAATAAAAAATGAGTGGAAGTTCTTTGGCCAATACATAGACAAGAGACTCAACTTCAGCACCCACATACAACACATAGCCAAGAAAGTCTCAAAAACGGTCTTTAAACTCTAAAATCAGATACTTGATCCCCCACTCTGCTCTCCTCTCATTATACTCTATAATCTCATTATACTACACACTAATCTATCCCTATCTAACATACGGTATCTGTGCATGGGGTTCAACCACTGCAAAATACCTCAAACCCATCATCACTGAGCAAAAATCTGCTATCAGAACTATCTTGAGGTTATCTTGAGATGATTTCGGGGCTTTTAGTGTCCCCGCGGCCCGGTCCTCGACCAGGCCTCCACCCCCAGGAAGCAGCCCGTGACAGCTGACTAACACCCAGGTACCTATTTTACTGCTAGGTAACAGGGGCATAGGGTGAAAGAAACTCTGCCCATTGTTTCTCGCCGGCGCCTAGGATCGAACCCAGGACCACAGGATCACAAGTCCAGCGTGCTGTCCGCTCGGCCGACCGACTCCCGACTATAACAAAGTCTGTCCTCAGACAACACACAGCCTCTCTGTGTAAGTCCCTTAACATGCTAAACATACACTCACTCCACACATTCTCATGTGCTATTTACATGTACAAAGCATTGTTCCTAAATGCTAATCTTGTCATATGTTATCACAACAGTGCCATGTGGGCTCACAACAGTGCCATGAGGGCTCACAAAAGTGCCATGAGGGATCACAACAGTGCCATGTGGGATCACAACAGTGCCATGTGGGATCACAACAGTGCCATGTGGGATCACAACAGAGCCATGTGGGATCACAACAGTGCCATGTAGGCTCACAACAGTGCCATGTAGGCCCACAACAGTGCCATGTAGGCTCACAACAGTGCCATGTGGGATCACAACAATGACATGTGGGATCACAACAGTGCCATATGTTATCACAACAGTGCCATGTAGCCTCACAACAGTGCCATGTAGGCTCACAACAGTGCCATGTAGGCTCACAACAGTGCCATGTAGGCCCACAACAGTGCCATGTAGGCTCACAACAGTGCCATGTGGGATCACAACAATGACATGTGGGATCACAACAGTGCCATATGTTATCACAACAGTGCCATGTAGCCTCACAACAGTGTCATGTAGGCTCACAACAGTGCCATGTAGGCTCACAACAGTGCCATGTAGGCTCACAACAGTGCCATGTAGGCTAACAGCAACAGTGCCATGTAGCCTCACAACAGTGCTATGTAGGCTCACAACAGTGCCATGTAGCCTCACAACAGTGCCATGTAGGCTCACAGCAGTGCCATGTAGCCTCACAACGGTGCCATGTAGACTCACAACGGTGCCATGTAGACTCACAACAGTGCCATGTAGACTCACAACGGTGCCATGTAGCCTCACAACAGTGCCATGTAGCCTCACAACAGTGCCATGTAGGCTCACAACAGTGCCATGTAGCCTCACAACAGTGCCATGTAGCCTCACAACGGTGCCATGTAGCCTCACAACAGTGCCATGTAGCCTCACAACGGTGCCATGTAGCCTCACAACGGTGCCATGTAGACTCAACAGTGCCATGTAGCCTCACAACAGTGCCATGTAGCCTCACAACAGTGTCATGTAGCCTCACAACGGTGCCATGTAGACTCAACAGTGCCATATAGCCTCACAACAGTGCCATGTGGATCACAACAGTGCCATACAGCCTCACAACAGTGCCATGTAGCCTCACAACAGTGCCATGTAGCCTCACAACAGTGCCATGTGGATCACAACAGTGCCATGTAGCCTCACAACAGTGCCATGTAGCCTGACAACAGTGCCATATAGCCTCACAACAGTGCCATGTAGCCTCACAACAGTGCCATGTAGCCTCACAACAGTGCCATGTGGATCACAACAGTGCCATGTAGGCTCACAACAGTGCCATGTAGCCTCACAACAGTGCCA